GCCCTCAAGGACCAGGACCTCATGCGGGCCAAGTGAGTGCCAGCCGAGCGGGGCTGCCCCAGGCCTGGGGGGCCCTTCCTCCCATCCCCCTCAGCCAATGGACAGAAGAAATCGATGGAACTGGCCAATAGGGTCGGAACACCTTGGCTGCCCCCCAGCCAGCTGGCGGACCCACATGGGGGGCCCTGCCCCACACTGTCTGTGAGGGGAGGGGTGCCGGGGCAGGGGGCTGGACCTGTCTGTGAGGGGGGACAAGGGGTCCAGTCCCATCCTGTCTCCAGACACTTTGCTCCCCCCAGCTGGTCCAAGCTGCCCCGCTGGGGTCTGATTTCCTGCTAACCCCCGTCTCTTCTCCCCCCGCCGAAGGATGGATGACGCAGAGGCCTGCTTTATCCTCAGCAACCGCTTCGAGGGGGACCGGATTGCTGCGGTAGGTGCCACGCACTGATATCCCACCCTGCGGGCAACCCAGCCGGCCCCAGCACAGGGTTAAAGATGGTACCGGGGGGAGGGTATTTATTACAGGGTAGCACCCAGATACCCCGTGACAGGTTGGGTCACAGAGACCCCCTTGGGACTGCCACCTGATGTGCTGACTCTACCTCTGAGCCCGTTTTCCCTGGCAGCTTGGGACTTCAGTACCCTGCCTTGTTGAGCCAGACACGCCAGCCTGCTGCAAACACAGACCCAGGTCTGAACCACATCCCCCACAAGCTGCAGACTTAACTGAAAACAGCTTAGAAAGTGCTCCTGTCTCCAGCACCCAGACACCCAGCTCCCAAAGGGATCCAAACCCAAATAAATCCGTTGTACTTGGTGTGACGGGTTGGATCACAGAAACCCCCTTGGGAGCTGCCACCCGATGTGCAAAGACTACCCCTGCTTCTGTTTCCCTGCCAGCTCAGGACTCCAGCACCCCGTCTTGCTGAGCCAGACACTCCCGTCTGCTCCAACACCGACCCAGGGTCTGAATCACTTGCCCCAAAGCTGCAGGTTTACCTGAAAACAGCTCCCAGAAGTGTGCTTGTCTTTAGCACTCAGATGCCCAACTCCCAATGGGGTCTAAACCCAAATAAATCCATTTTACCCTGTATAAAGCTTATGCAGGGCAAACTCATAAATTGTTCGCCCTCTATAACATTGATAGAGAGATATGCACAGTTGTTTGCTCCCCCAGGTATTAATACATACTCTGAGTTAATTACTAAGTAAAAAGTGATTGTATTAAATACAGAAAGTAGCATTTAAGTGGTTCCAAGTAGTAACAGACAGAACAAAGTAAATCACCAAGCAAAATAAAATAAAATGCGCAAATCTATGTCTAATCGAACTAAATACAGATAATCTCACCCTCAGAGATGCTTCAGTAAGTTTTTTCTCAGACTGGACACCTTCCAGGCCTGGGCACAATTCTTTCCCCTGGTACAGCTCTTGTTCCAGCTCAGGTGGTAGCTAGGGGCTTCTCCATGATGGCTCCTCTCCCTCTCTGTTCTCTTCCACCCCTTTATATATCTTTTGCATAAGGCGGGAACCCTTTGTCCCTCTGGGTTTCCACACCCCCCTCACTGGAAAAGCACCAGGTTAAAGATGGATTCCAGTTCAGGTGACATGATCACATGTCACTGCAAGACTTCATTGCCCACTTGCCAGCACACACATATACAGGAAGACTAACAGGTAAACACAACCATCTGCAGACAATGGTCCTGGTTAATGGGAGTCATCAAGATTCCAAACCATCATTAATGGCCTCCACTTTACATAATTACAATAGGCCCTCAGAGTTATATTTTATATTTCTAGTTTTAGATACAAGAGTGGTACATTTATACAAATCGGATGATCACACTCAGTAGATTATAAGCTTTGTAATGATACCTTACAAGAGACCTTTTGCATGAAGCATATCCCAGTTACGTTATATTCACTTATTACCATATTTTTCTAAAACTATCCCAGTTACATTATATTCACTTATTATCATGTTTTTATGAAACCATATAGACTGCACAACATCACACTCGGTATAAAACTTATACAAAGTAAACTCATAAATTGTTCGCCCTCTATAACACTGATAGAGAGATATGCACAGCTGTTTGCTCCCTCAGGTATTAATTACTTACTCTGGGTTAATTAATAAGCAAAAAGTGATTTTATTAAGTATAAAAAGTAGGATTTAAGTGGTTCCAAGTAATAACAGACAGAACAAAGTAAGTCACCAAACAAAATGAAACAAAACATGCAAGTCTAAGCCTGATACAGTAGGAAACTGAATACAGATTAAATCTCACCCTCAGAGATGTTCCAATAAGCTTCTTTCACAGACTAGACACCTTCCTAGTCTGGGCCCAATCCTTTCCCCGGTACAGTCCTTGTTAGTTCCAGCTCAGGTGGTAACTAGGGGATTTCTCATGACTGCAGCCCCCTTTGTTCTGTTCCACCCCCTTTTATAGCTTTGGCACAAGGCGGGAATCTTTTGTGTCTCTGGGTCCCCACCCCTCCTTCTAAATGGAAAAGCACCAGGTTTAAGATGGATTCCAGTACCAGGTGACATGGTCACATGTCCTGGGAGACCCCAAGCCTTCATTCTTCCCGGCCTGACTCACAGGAAGGCTTGCAAGTAAACAGAGCCATCTACAGTCAATTGTCCTGGCTAACGGAATCCATCAAGATTCCAGACCACCATTAATGGCCCCCACTTTGCATAATCACAATAGGACTCCAGAGTTTATATTTCATATTTCTAGTTTCAGATACAAGAACGGTACATTTATACAAATAGGATGACCACCCTCAGTAGATTATAAGCTTTGTAATGATACCTTACAAGAGACCTTTTGCATGAAGCATATTCCAGTTACATTATAGTCACACTCATCAGGATACTGTCATAAAATCACAGAGTGCAACATCACAACCCTGACCAAGATCAGGGCCCCGTTGTGCTGCGTGCTGGGCCGCACAGCTCTCCTGCACTGGCTTCTTTTGATACGCGCTGGCAGGGGCCGTGTTTTCCGGTTCTCCGTCCTCCGCGGGGCGCTGCGGGCTGCGGGAGGGCAGTGGGGGGAAGCGTGATCCTTCCTGGTGCCTGGGGGAAACGTGGGGGGCCTGGCCTGGCTGTGATGCTCTGCCCCATCTCGCCCGACCCCCAGGATCATCAGACCATCCTCAGGGCCTGGGCGGTCAAGGACTTTGCCCCCAACTGCCCTCTGTATGTGCAGATCCTCAAACCCGAGAACAAATTCCACATCAAATTCGCAGGTGAGCTGTCCGCCCTGCCCGCTGCACCTCCCCACCCTGGCCCCCGGTGGGCCCTCTCTGCCCCCTGCCCCTGCCATACACCTGCCTCCGCAGTGCCCCTGGCACCCTCTCCTGCCCCCGCTCCATGCTCCTGCAGTGGTCGGCAGTGGGGGAGAGGGGAGAGAGAGGGGGGTGTCTATGGGGCTGGAGGGATGGATGATGGGTTTGTAGGAGGATGGAGGGTTGGCTGGATAGAGGGTTATGAATGAGGGTGGATAAATGGGAAGATGGGGATGTACATGGGGATGGAGGGATGGGTCAGACGGAGGGTAGATGAATAGAGCAGACAGAGGAGAGGACGGGGATGGAAGGATGGATCAGATAGAGGAGTGGATGGGGATGGACGGATAGCTATAGAAGGAGGGAAGGTGGTCGGGTGGCTGGTGGACGGATAGCTGGCAGAGCTAGCAGAGGCAGGATGATAGGCGGAGGGAGGGAAGAAGGAAGGGACGGATGAAGGAAGCAAGCGGCTGGGGGAGCGGGCCCAGCTCCTCCTGGATAGCCCCGGCCCTGGCTCCCAGCCCATGTGCGTCTCTCTCTCCAGATCACGTGGTCTGCGAAGAAGAATTCAAGTACGCCATGTTGGCTCTGAACTGTGTGTGTCCAGCCACTTCCACCCTCATCACGCTGCTGATCCACACCTCGCGGGGACAGTGAGTAGCTGTGCCCGTCGCCGGCCGACTGCCCCCAGCTGGGGCCAGACTAGACCCAGCCGCACTGCCTGAGTCTGCACAGAGCCTGAGCCAATCGCTTTCGGGGCTGGGGATCCCACTCAGCGCATCCCAGTGGGGGGTTGACTCTCAGCCCCACTGCTCTGGGGGTCCTGCCAATCACGCCCCAGCAGCACTGAGAAAGAAGGGGGGCAGGAGCCAGTGCCAGGGCGGGGGAGGAAACAGCATCGGGGGCACTGGGGGAGGCAGGAGTCAGCAGCAGGGTGGGGGAGTCTAGCCCGAGCAGCAACTGCCTGAGTGCGCAGAGAGCCTGAGCCGATTGCCAGGGTGGGGGATGGGGTTGGTTCTCATTTGTCCCTTGGTGCCTTTGGACAGAACTGCCCCCATGGAGCCCTTCAAGCCGCGGCCGAGCGCCTGGCAGCCCCTGTCCAGGTGAGTCCGGGCTGGGCCGGGGTGGGTGACGGGCTGCAGGGGGAGGGTACACGCTTGCCCCTGGGTCACGGGCCAGGAGGAGACGCTGGGGCCCCTTGTCCTGGGGCCGACCCTGTGGTTGCAGCCCCCGCATCCAGAGCTGGGCGAGCAGCAGAGGGAGGGGCCCCAACCCTGCCCAGCTCTGGGAGATCCCCCCGCTGCGTTCTGTGCATGGCTGGAGCCCCGTGGACTTTCCCTACCATGACCCAGGCGCCAGCGACACCGGCCTGGAGTCCTCTCGCCGGGGTGAGTCCACAGGCCAGGGCTCCCCTCCCTCCTGGGTGGGGGTCAGGAGACCCCCCCCCCCCCCCCCCCGGGGGTGTGGCGCCTGGGGGGCGCCTCTCCCCCCTCAGAGACGGCCCCGCCTCGCCGGAGCAATGGCAGAGGATGTACAGCCGCTGCTCGGCCAACGAGGTCTACCACGTCCGGCTGGGGGACAGCAAGTTCCTGGGCCAATACCAGGGCAAAAGCTTCACCTACGCCTCCTTCCACGCCCACAAGAGGTAAGCGGGGCCGGGGGAGGGCGGCTCCACACGCCATGTGTGCACCTCCTTGTGCTGGCACACTGGCATACCCTTGCACATGGACGCACACGTGTATGCTCATGCCCACGCTCACACACGTGCTCATACACTTATGCAGACGCTTACACACATTGATGCACACCCTTCCATCTGCTTGCACGCGCATGGGCATGCTTATATCCTGGTGTGCATGCTTACACACATTGATGCACACCCTTGCACATGCACGTACATGTGCATGGTTGTGCACATGCTCACACAAGTATGCACACACTTACACACATCGGTGCACACCCTTGCACATGCACGCACACATGCACAGTTGTGCACATGCTCACACACTTACACACATTGGCACACTCTTCTATCTCCTTGCACACACTTACACACATGCACACTCACGCCACACATGCAGACACACACTTACATGCCCTTGCACATGCACAGACATCCTCACCCACACGCACCCCTGTGCATGCGCATGATCCAGCTTGCACATGCTTCTCTGCTCAGGAGCACACATACCCCCAGCCAGGCCTACACGCATATTGCACCCCCACGCACTCCGAGCTGGCTTGCACACACGCCTCCCTCCCCCAGCTCCCCAGGGCTGAGCCCCATCCCGGGGGTCCCAGGCGCTGACCCCGGCTGCCCGGCAGGTACGGGGTGTGCCTGATCGGCGTGTGCCGGGAGGACAAGAACAACATCCTGCTGAACCCAGGGCCCTGCCACATCCTGGCCTCCTCCGACACCTGCTTCTACATCAACATCTCCAAGGAGGAGAACTCGGCCTTCATCTTCCGCCAGCAGGAGCATCTGCACCAGAGCCGCCTGGCCACCCCGGCTTACCACGGCCTGACGCGTCTGCCCGTGCACAGCATCATCGCCAGCATGGGTGAGCCCCCGGCCTCCCCGCCCATCACCCCGCCCCAGCCAATCCACACGGGGCTCCCGGTCCCCAGCCGGCCCTTCACACCTCTCCAGCCAATCGCCATCCAGCATGGAGCCCGCCAATTCTCCACCAATCCCCTGCTGGCTCTTCACCCTGCCTCGGCCAATCAGAACTCAGCACCAAGCCCCAGCCTTCTCCACCACTCCCCACTGGCCCGTCAGGTCTCAGCCAATCACTGCCCCGCCGGGGACCCCCCCCCCCCCCCCCCCCGGGGCCCCCCCCCCCCCCCCCGCCCCGGAGTCCCCCACCAATCCCCAGCCAGCCCTTCACTCCTCCTCAGCCAATCATCATTGAGCATGGGGCCTGCCAAACTCCCACCAAACTCCGTTCGCTTGTCATACTACCCCAGCCAATCATCATCCAGCACTGGACCCCACCCTCCCTTATTAATTCCCACCCGCCCCTTCACACTTCCCCAGCCAATCATCACTCAGCATGGGGCCTACCAATCCCCAGCCAGCCCTTCGCCCCTCCCCAGCCAATCCCCACCCAGCACAGGCCCAGCTGCCCCCTCTGCGAACCAGGGGGGCAGGGCACCAGGTGGCTGATGAGGCAGGGCCCAGCTGGGGGCCGGGGTCCAGTCCAGCCCAGCTGGGTGGCACCATGTGGTATGAGTTTGCTGGAGCTCAGCCTGCCCCCCCTTGGGGGGCGTGTCACTGAATCGGCCCCTGGCTGCCCCAGATGCCCCCCTGCGGGCCGGGGGAGGCGTGTGGGGGCAGCCGGGACGGCTGGGCTCAGGGTTCTGCCCCCCCAAGAGTGCCCTGACCCGCCTGCCCCCCGGCCGTGCAGGGACGGTGGCCATGGACCTGCCGGACTCTGGCAGCAGCCCGGACAGCGCGGACGGGACCACACTGGGCCTGCCGGCCGACCCGGTGGGCACCGAGAAACGCCACAGCATCGCCCCCGTGCTGGAGGTGGTGGACGCCATCCCCAGCCCCACCTTCGACCTCCTGAGCGACCAGTCGGAGGACGAGGCCACCCACTCTGACGACGACGCGGCCGCCTCCGGCACGTAAGGACCCACCCGCCCCGGGGTCCTGTGTGACGCGGCTCGAGCTGGGGGGGTCTCAGCGTCCTGACTGGCCCCGTCCACAGAGGGGCCATGGGGACGGAGGGGAGTGGGGCACGTAGGGACCTGCCTCTGGGGTACGCCCATGCTGCCCCCCCAAATTCAGGCCTGGATCTGCAGCGCCCCCTGCAGGGTCCCAACGGGAAATGTTTATAGCAGTGGGGAGCGGGTGGCTTTCCGTGGGTCGGGAGCCGCGATCCCCCAATGCCCACATGCTCCCCCTTGGCATGGGAGACCCCATGGGGGCTTTGCCAACGACAGCATGTGCACTTGTCTCCATGCACGTGGGCGTGCGGCGTTGGGGGGCACACAGGGGACCCCCGAGAGTTGAGGGCTGCCCAGGGCACAGACAGACGCCCATGCCCTGTGGCACTAACCCAGTTGGAAGGAGCTGCTCGGCTTGGCGGGATGCCCGCGTCTTCTGCCCAGCTCCAATGCGCTCGGCCTGGCGCTTTGGGGCTATGCGCCTGGGGCCGGCTTTGTTCAATATCTTCATTAATGATCTGGAGGATGGCGTGGACTGCACCCTCAGCAAGTTTCCAGATGACATTAAACTGGGAGGAGTGGTAGATACTCTGGAGGGTAGGGATAGGGTACAGAGGGACCCAGACAAATTGGAGGATTGGGCCAAAAGAAATCTGATGAGGTTCAACAAGGACAAGTGCAGAGTCCTGCACTTAGGACGGAAGAATCCCATGCACTGCTACAGACTAGGGACCGAATGGCTGGGTAGCAGTTCTGCAGAAAAGGACCTAGGGGTCACAGTGGACGAGAAGCTGGATATGAGTCAGCAGTGTGCCCTTGTTGCCAAGAAGGCTAACGGCATTTTGGGCTGTATTAGTAGGGGCATTGCCAGCAGATCGAGGGACGTGATCATTCCCCTCTATTCGGCATTGGTGAAGCCTCATCTGGAGTACTGGGTCCAGTTTTGGGTCCCACACTACAAGAAGGATGTGGAAAAATTGGAAAGAGTCCAGCGGAGGGCAACAAAAATGATTAGGGGTCTGGAGCACATGACTTATGAGGAGAGGCTGAGGGAACTGGGATTGTTTAGTCTCCAGAAGAGAAGAATGAGGGGGGATTTGATAGCAGCCTTCAACTACGTGAAAGGGGGTTCCAAAGAGGATGGATCTAGACTGTTCTCAGTGGTGGCAGATGACAGAACAAGGAGCAATGGTCTCATGTTGCAGTGAGGGAGGTTTAGGTTGGAGATTAGGAAAAACTTTTTCACTAGGAGGGTGGTGAAGCACTGGATTGGGTTACCTAGGGAGGTGGTGGAATCTCCTTCCTTAGAGGTTTTTAAGGTCCGTCTTGACAAAGCCCTGGCTGGGATGATTTAGTTGGGAATTGGTCCTGCTTTGAGCAGGGGGTTGGACTAGATGACCTCCTGAGGTCCCTGCCAACCCTGATAGTCTATGATTCACTATGAGGCATGAGGCCCCCCAAAGGGTGCCAGCCTCCCCCTCTCCCTGCCCCCCAGCTCCTCCTTCCCCCCTCTCTCTTGGTCTTCCAGCTGGGTGAAGGGTTACCCCACCAACTCCCCCTACATCGGCAGCTCCCCCACCCTCTGCCACCTGGTCCAGGAGAAGATCCCCTTCTGCTGCCTGCGGCTGGACAAGGTACCGCCAGGGCTGGGCAAGACACCCGGGGGGGGGGGGGGGGGGGGATGCCAAGGGGCCCTGAGCTGGGCCCCCAGCACCATCCATGGGGCCCCTGCCCTGCCCCTGGGGCCACCCCAGGGACACATGGCCGGTCCCCTGGGAGGCTGCAGGTGAGGGGCTGGGGGGCAGGCACGGCAGAGGGTGGGGGAGGATGGGGGGTAGGTGCACCTACCCATGGCCTGTCTGGGGCACAAGTGAGCAAAGGATGATACAACCCCCCCAATGTATAGGTCCAGGAAGGAATGGGGAGGGGGTCACCCCCCACCCCAGTCCTGGGTCTCCAGCTGGGGATCAGAGGGAAATGGGGATGGGTCACGCCCCCTCCCAGCTGGAGGATCGGCGGGGTTTAATCCCC